TCTCTCTCTCTCTCTCTCTCTCTCTCTCTCTCTCTTTCTCTCTCTCTGTAGACCTGGCTGTCCTGGAACTCACTCTGTAGACCAGGCTGGCCTTGAACTTAGAGATTCACCTGCCTCTTCCCCCTTAGTGCTGGGATTAGAGGTGTGCGCCACCACTGCTTGAGACAAAGTATTGCTGTATAGCTCAGGGTGGCTTGGAACTTAAGATGATCCTGCTGACTCAGCCTTCCAACTTGCTGGAATTGTAGGTGTATACTATGATTCCTGGCTTATTTTGCTTTTATTATTATTAATTAATTGTCTTGTCTTTGAAAAAAATCACTTCTCAGCATTTTGTTTATGATCAAATATATTTTGCATCTTATTTTTCTTCTTGTAGAATTTTGCTCCTGGAAAGCTAATTCCAGATGGATAAGTCCTTTCCCTTCTGGCTTATTCTTGACTTTGTTGTGTGACCTTTTGCTCTGATAGCCTTTGTCTCCAGTGACTGTATGTAACGTCTCTTGGTGTGGTTGTGTGTGTGTGTATTTCCTGCTTGAGGTTTGCTGAGCTGCTTGGATTTATGGAATCATGGTTCTCATCAAATCTGGACAACGGAGGGGCCGTACGCCCTCTCTGCATCCTTCTCTGTCTTCCCTGGGTACCACTGAAGCAGTTCCTAGATTGTACGCTTTATTTTGAGGTCGCTGCTTCAGTTCCTGCTTCCCTGTCAGTCTTTTTTTTTTTAATTTTTATTTCATGCACATTGGTGTTTTGCCTGCATGTATGTCTGTGTGAGGATGTTGGATCCTCTGGAACTGGAGTTACAGACAGCTGTGAGCTGCCATGTGGGTGCTGGGAATTGAACTCAGGTCCTCTGGAAGAACAGCCAGTGCTCTTAACCACTGGCTCTCTCCAGCCCCCACCTGCCAGTCTTTTTTCTTTCTGTTTATTTTTTTTCTTTTTTTTTTAATTAAGAAAATTTTTTCATTTGTTTTTACACTATTTTTCTTCTTTTTATACTCCAGTTTTCATGTTGTTCTGTGGCTGTCTCCAAGTCATCGGCCTATTATTACTCAATGTTTAATTGCTTTTAATCACACATTTAAAATTTTTATTTTTACATATTTTGAAGTTACAGTCCAATCTTTAAAAATTAAAAATGAAGTTGGGCTGTTAAATGGCTCAGTGGGTAGAGGTGCTTGCCACCAAGCCTGATGACCTGAGTGGGAGCCCCGAGACTAACATGGGGAAGTTGCGAGCTGACCCCCACAAGGTGTCTTCTGACACTCACATGTGAGCCATGGCAAGTACTGTATAAACACATTAAATTTTTTCATTAGATTTACTCATTTTATTTTAGGATCTTTTGCCTGCATGTATGTATGTGTGTCACTGGATCTGGAACTGTTGTGACCCACCATGTGGGTGCTGGGAATCAAACCCAGGTCCTCTGCAGGAGCAACAAGTGCTCTTAATCTCTGAGCCATCTCTCCTGTCCCATACATATAAAGACTTTTAATGGTCACCTGTGATTCCATTTCTTTCTTAACATCATAAAGAAAAAAGGTTTCTTTGGGCTCCTTATTCTGAAGGTATAAGGTTTTAAGTCAGGGTTTCTAGTGCTGTGATTGAACACTTGAACCAAAAGCAACATAAGGAGGAAAGGGTTGATTCATCCTAACAACTCTCTCAGGTCCCGCTCCATCACCGAGGGAACTCGGGCGGAACTGAAGCAGAAACCATAGAGGAGTGCTGCTCACTGGCTTGCTCCACATGGCTTGCTTGGTTTGCTCTCTTGTTCTGTACCATCGTGGCACCACCCACAGTGGGCTGGGCCCTCTCACATCAGTAGGTTAAAAACACTCCCCCATAGACTTGGCCTACAGGCCAGTCTCATGTAGGCATTGTCTCAATCGAAGTTTCCTTCTCCCGTCTGACCTTAGCTTGTGTTAATTTGACAAAAACAAACAACAACAACAAAAACCCCCAGAAAACCCTAACCAGCCCAAAAGGCCACACCTGGTAGTGGCTTTCTTGCTGACCAAATCTAAAGGTAGCACAGGACATCACATGACAAGGCAGAAAGCAGCAGGTCCACGCTGGCCTCTTTCTGTCGACTTTTTCTGGTGGTTGCTCATGTTTTCTTGGCTCTTGACGTGTGTAGTCGTATTTGATTGATCGCTGAACCCGGACAAAGCTCTGACATTTGTAGACTTTGTTTTCTTCCTTTTAAGATTGTTGGGCTCCTCCTGCTGCCAGTAAAGGTTTTCATTGATCAGCTTGATCCTATAAACTTGGTGTTTGTTTAGTTCTAAAGTTACAGTGGTCTTTGCTGTGGGGCTAATTTGTCTAAGGCGTCACCCTATTGGGGACTTCCCTGATGCTTCTGTTTATGTTTTGATTGGTCAGAACTCGAATGCTTTCTGATCATGCATGAGATTTGGGAATGTTTTACTTTTCTGCTCCTTGGTTACTTTTTTGTTCAATCTTCTGGACTTCCTATTTACATTTAGCGTTTGGCAAAAACAAATTTCTAGTTGGATTTTTTTTTTGAACTTAAAAAATGATTTTATTTTTCTCTCATACCATACATCAAAACAGCAGCCCCCCCCCCATTTATTTTTAATATAAGCTTCTTTCTGGATTTAGTTCTGTGACTTCCTAGCTGCTTCATTCTCTGGCAGCCTGTCTTGCTGTTTCCCTAAGCAAAAGCACCATGCTGTGCTTGGGTCCTCTCTGCACTGTGGTCCAGAGTTTGCCTCTGGACAGAGCTGGGGCAGTTACACATCTCATTTCATATCATTGTTTTGTTTGTTTTGCGATAAGATCTCACCAAATAGCCTGGGCTGGCTTTGAACTTGGAGAGATCCTTCTGCATTGGCCTGAGTGCTGAGATTGTAAGTGTGTACTGGCTCTCCTAGTTTATAATCTGTTTTAAAATGTGTGTACATGAGTACGGTTGTGTGTGTACCTGTGGGTATGTGTATGTGAGTACAGGTGTGTGTACCTGTGGGTCTGTGTATGTGAGTGCAGGTGTGTGTGTACCTGTGGGT